GAACAATGACTCATATTGGAGTGAATATTTCTTTTATGCAATTCGTGTCAAGAAATTGTTTTCGATAAGTTTTCCTTGGTGAGCTATTTTGGACTCTTGTTGACATGCTATATGATACTATTTGTTTATTTCAAGATGGATCCATATCTTTTAGCTTATGTGGTATGTTTACAATGAAGTTACTTCATGAATCTGTTTACCGTATTACAAAATTAATAGCACTTATATGCTTTAGATTGCTTTTTTAAGTAATTTGTTTATACAAAATTATCCAGTTTTATGGATAGACACCTGAACCTAAGGATTACATCCTATATGCAATTTAAAAAATATTTAATCTAAAATATCCTATTTAATGCTCAGATGTCTCTAATCTTCCCTTCCACTATCGATCTCCACTGAACTTGCTATGCTACAACTTTGTACATGGTGGGGGTTGGAATTCTTCATGACGTCACATAAATTTGCATATTGTAGGTTTTTTATATCTTAAACATTTTCTCAATGTTTATAACAACCCTTTTATTGTTGTGACGATCGCTTTAGTAATCAAATTCTGAACGGAAAACTGCTATAGATTCTTTTTCATTTTCTTGTGTGTCTGGCTAAGCTTATGTCTGAGCCAAATGTGACAACTAGTTGGGTGTTATTTAACTTCTTTCGCTGCCGCAGTCTAACGAGAAGCCCAACAGTACAAATCAAAGTGGACCCACTCAGAGGGCATCAGCTTTAGCCGCACTATCTTCTGCTTTTAATCCATCTTCCAAATCTGCAGCTACCGGTCCCAAACCAATCCGTTCCAGTAAGGGTGGTTCACAAAGAGCAGCTGCAGTTGCTGCTTTGTCATCTGTTCTAACAGCTGAACAGAAGAAGGCACAATCTGAAGGTTCAACGCATCGACATAGCAGAACCTCCTCCCCTGATTCAACTGCATTTGGTAAGGTTTTCATGAAGTTTACTAGGTTCTGATTTCCTTGATCGAGTATTTTGTTTGTTGCACCTAATCTCAACCCTCGCCCACATAGAAACATCTAACTTTGATTTGTAAAACTGTAGATCTGTTTGTCAGTTGACACATTTTCAGTTTAATGCCTTCATATGCATCTCTGTAGCTTTATTAACTTAAACCTGCATTTTAGACCATTACGCTTAATCGGAGAATAGGACGTACTTGCTGTTTATGCATTGATATCATTGCTATTCCTCTCTAGATAGCTTCTTCTGATTTCATAATGAACTGGACCAGATAATGTGTGTGCTGCACTAAAAAATACAATGTAGTACTGTTTAAATTTTAGACAGTTTATGAGGGGTTGTTTTCGTTTCAGATTTTTCAGCATGTCCAATTTTGTCAGTCGACTTTTTAAATCTGATACAAAATAACTCAATGGAGAGACCATTTTGAATCATATTTGAGGTTTTAATAAACTAAATTAAACACATGTATAATCTTGGGATTAAAATGGTCCCCATCAAATAGTTGAGGGGCGATTTTAACTTTTTTCGCTTTTTAGTTATATTCTTTTTTCGTTTATTGGCAATCCTTTGTGACTGGCTACCCATCTCTTATGGTTATTATGTTCCTTAAATATTTATTACAATCAATTTTCATTCTAAAAACAAAATTCTAGCCCTTCTGGAAACTAAGATTTTAAGGTGTGCATAGATGGAAATTTAATTGTCTCGACGAGAAGTTCAGAATTTTTTGTTCTTTTTTCTCAACAACAGAATCATTTAAGATAGAGACAGCAACTTCTGAGACGGAGGATCCTGTTGAAGTTGCCGCAGTAAAGGTAGAAAATGAAGTGGATGGATTTGAATCAGAAAGCAATGGCACAGTTGCAGAGGTTAACCAGGACTCATTTGCAGAAGATAAAAATGGCGAAAAAACCTTCAGTTATGAACGTCTGAAAGCCAAATCCAGCAACCCAGTCACTGGTATCGACTACAAAAGGAGAGAGGTGCGTGCCTTTGTCGTTTTATCTAATTTGCGCTTCCTATAATCTCAAAAGTTAATTGAGATTGTCATGATCTCCCTGTCCAGGCTTATTTGTCTGACGTGGAATTCCAGACTGTTCTTGGAATGACAAAAGATGCATTTTATCTGCAGCCAAAATGGAAGCAGGACATGCAGAAAAGGAAGGTTGATCTCTTCTAATCTCAAATATCTCAGCAGCGAAATTCAGTTGCTCGTGCTATTATTATTATTTTTTATTGTTTTCCTCCACTTTCTGCTTATTTGAGAGGTTGAGATATATGCTGTATTGGTCACTGTCAGTATTGCTTGCTTGTTGATGATTACTACTGCTGGTTTGCTGGGGTGATTTTTGCAGCGCTACAGTCATTCTTTTATTTGTAAAGGAGCATTGTTTGTCTTGGGTGCTCAGGGTTTTGGGTTTTGTCCTGTTTGTTCTTCTCGTCAGAAGGGTCCATATGCATATATTTTGGGTTGCATGCGCATGGAGCTGTCTGTTAAGTCGGCATATAAATGTTGTGTGCTGCATTAAAAACTACAATGTAGTGCTTTTTAAATTATTTCCAGTCATCTGCGTTCAGCAGTCATATTCATGGTTGAGCTGCGCTGGAGCCATTTGTCTCATTTTGTTCTGTTTCTGGAGCTTGTTTTGCCGGTGAGAGAATTGGCTAATTTCTATGTTGGCCATTTACAGGCATACCGCACGAGTCTTATGTATTTACATATCTAACACCTAAGCATTTATATATACATGCATAACAGTAACATCTTTAACATCACATTAAAAATATCACTTTTAGTACGTTTTTAGAAGTTAGAATCAAGGTGGTATGAATGTAAATGTCAAACTTTCGTGTTAAATGTGTAAATCCGTGAGAATTGTGTTTCGTGTGTAATATACCATTTTATATATCATCGAAATATATTTTTGGATATATTTTTATTATTATAGGCTTCATACGGACAGTTAATGTGCTGAAAGTGGCAAGGAAAACCGAGATACGGAGAAAGAATGAAAATTGTTTTATTTAACTTTTTCCTTTTGTAATAACGGTGATAATAAT